TCTGTGGGGTGAGAGAGGCCCACAGACTGTTGCTGGTCACTGCTGGGGAGCAGCAGATTACTGGTGTCTCTGTGGGGTGAGAGAGGCCCACAGACTGTTCCTGGACAGGAACTGGGTAAAATAGCAGCCACAGCTTTCCTTCTTCCCCCTGGGGACACACAAGATGGTAAAAAAGTGGAGCATCCTGCTCCTCATTTCACTAAGGAGACTTTCACTGTGGAGACCTCCAGTCTCTATGTCTCCATCTCCACCTGAAGCCTCAGCATGCACAGGATGGCTGGAACCTGACAGGGAGAGCCTACCTTGTTAGTGTGGCTGGCGCTAGTGATCCGTGAACTCCTTTCCTCTACTGTTCACACGTGCACAATAGGATGCTTGCCACTGCGGTTACCAGGTTACCACACACACACCTGCGCAAGTGCAAACGGCTCAGAGAAAGGTGCTGTGGCAGATAAAAGGTATTCCAGTCTTCCTTACCATTCCGCACAGAAATGCAGGGCGTGGCTATGCAGATACGCTGCAGTGCCACACCCATCACTAGGTCTTATTATCGGGGTAGGGTTTATATTTAACAAATGCATAGAAACCCTGTTAGGGCTTATATTTTGGGTAGGTCTTATTTTCAGGGAAACATGGTAATAGCATAAAGTGTAAAGAACTTAAATGACCCCCTCGAAAGGGGATAAATGAAAAAACAAGTTTTGCTATGGTGGCATAATACACAGCAGTTAAAACAAATGACCCAGAGCTGCAAACAACAATAAGAAAATACACCCAAATTTTTACTGTTGAAAAAGTCACAGGATGAACACTTATGTATAGGATAAAACACCTAAAACGTGAGGTTTCGCAGAGGATTATGCCCCTAAGGAGTCACAAAATAAAAGCGAAGGTGGGGGCAGTAACACTGAACTCCAGGTAGGGTTACCTCTGGGGGGGGCCATCAACAGGCTCTGTCAGGTTTTTTCCTTTAGAAATGAGGCAAACATGGTAAAAGGATCCTACTACTAATAGCTAACATTTCCTGCGTGTTCTACTATATGCAGAGCACTCACTGAGGCACCCTCCCCATGGGCAGCAGAGAATCAGGGGGGCCAGGAGACCTGTTCTGCTCACTCAGAGCCTAAGGCTTGAGGGAAATTTTGAGGAGTTGGAAGACACTCGGTGCCTTTCCAAAGCTCACAGTCAGCTAGAGACGCACACAGGGAAGCAGGTTGCTGGTGTTTCTAGTGTAGCCTCGGGAGTGTTGTCAGGGCCCAGTGGACGCCTCCTGTGCTGTCTGTGCCTAACCTAGACCCCTGTGCTGCGTTCACCCCCAGGGGAGCACTTGCTGCTGAAGGCGAAGGTTATACAGCTGCAAATTCATTTCCCTTATAAAGCTCTTCCTGTCCCCCCAGGGTTGTTTTCATTGAGCATGAGAATGGTTTTTATCAGTTATTAACCTAGTAGATATAAACTTAAATATCTCCTTTTGTCAACTTAGTTTTTAAAACATCTCTTTTAAATGTAGGCTAAAAAGGTGTCTGAAAACATTGCTCATTAATTATTTTAAAATGTAGAATCTCCTGATTGATGATGATGACGATTTCAGTACAATCAGAGATGATGCTGGAAAAGAAAAACAGAAACAACTCACTCTGGGGAAAAAGAAAAGGTAATTATCAGTATGGGCTCTGACAGCCACTGCCGCAGTCCACCCTCTGACTTCTCACTCTGGCTGGAAATCTGACTGAAGCTGGGAGCTTGCCATGGAGCTGTCACAGCATGGGCACTCCTCTGCCACTCACTGTGTTGGGGTCTTCAGGCTGCCCCTCAGGTCCTGGAGCCTTCTGTGGACACGAGAAGGCAACATGGACCACATGTCTTCCTGCCCTCTTCCCTGGACACGTCATCCTCCTCCCACCACTTGCAGGCTCACCACTCTGCCTGGGTCATAGCCTTTGGTTTAGGTTCCCACCCCTCTGGTCTCCGAGGGCATCCCCAGCAAGCCCCCACCCAGCCGCTACCACTCCCGCTTCTCACTCTCTCTCCCAGAGTCACAGAGCCTCACTGCCCCCAGGGACCGCTGTGGCTTCAGTGCCCTCAGCCCTCTCCTCTGGCCTCCATGTGGCCTCCCACTCTGGCACCTGCTTGCTCTTTCCCATGCCACACATGCTGCCCAGGTCACGCTGCCTGGGGGCTTACTCCACTTCTACTCGGGGAGCTGTGGACCTGGGTGCACAGCTGGGCTCTCTCCCGGCCTCCAGGCTCCTTCAACAGCCCATAGAAGCTTCAACTCACACACCTGCTTTGTGAGGCTCAGTTCATCCGCTCAGCCAACTCATCGCCAGGAGCCCCAGCACCTGGCCCATGGTACCTCCACGCAGACCACACCAGAGGCCACATGGGTGTCTCCATCTCTCCCCACCCCAGTCGTAGTAACTCTGGCTCTCTCTTAAGTCAGCCTTTCCCAGGCTCAAATTGCTCCCACCTTGGTAGACGCTATCTTTTCCTACCCAGATCACTCAGTAGCCTTTACCCACCTAACCGGGCCCTGCTCACCTACTTCCCTTTTCTCCTGCCCAGCAACATGCCAGGTGTGCTTTGCCATTGGGGGTGGCATCTAGCCATGGAAAGAGAGGTCCAGGTACAGGTGCCCAGGCAGGCAGGGCTAGGGATGTAGACCCTCAGGGCCATGGCCATGAGCTGAGAATTCGGGTGTGTTCAGGGAACCTCAGAGGGTTGGATGTGGAACCCTTTAAAGTGATGACTGGCTGGAATATGGTGAATGATCTTAGGGGTAACAGTGGAAGCAGGGAGACTAGTGAGGAGACCGTTGTGCTGATCAAGTGAAGGTGACAGTGGGTGAAACTGCGCGGTAAGGATGGAAGGATCTAGACTGTGGCAGAAGCAGTGGGGGCTTTGCTCTGTAGTTCACAGCCATCCCTTAGGACCTGGAACAGTGCCTCCCAATGCTCAGGGGACACATGTCCAGTGACTTCCTTCATTTTGGAGTCACACATGGACCTGGGGGTGGTCCCCCCTGCTGAGGTGGCTCAGATGACACCCTGCTCCCTTTGTTCCTCTACTACCGCCCCTCCTCCAGGGCACACCCTTGACCTGGGGGCTCCTTCTGTGCTCTTTGTGTGGTAGGCGACTCCTAAGTAGCACCTTCCCTACCGTGTCAGGGATTCCCAAGAGGTCAAGGGGCAGTTCACCCCCATTCACAGCTCTACACCTCGTGGAGCCCTCACGAATGAAGGATCTGGCTGGTTTGAGGTTTCCCTATTTGCAAGTCACACATACATTACTGAGTCACATATAAAATTGTCTGACACATTCAATACATGCATAAATCTTGCCTTCTTCCACATTCCAATGTGATAAAACTGTCTCCTTCAGCCCTCTCACACGTTAAGCTATCAGCAGGGCTGCCATTTTGAGTCATCCGCTCCTTTCCAGGCCTGTCACCTGCACTTCTGTCTGTTGTCTCAGGTAGGGCAAGTTTTAAATTTGTGTCTGTCACTGAAAATCTTATCCCTGGCCTCACACACCTCATTTGTGCAAAATTAGAACAGTTATGCTTTACCAGCAATATGACGTCACCACTTACCATCTTGTTTTTCACTTATTTTATCTATTTTTTGGAAAGTTAATAGAATCACATACCTTTAAATGTAAAAGCTACAAAGAGAAGCTACTGAGAAGACCCATGTCCAGATGCAGGCCCGTGTCCTCCGGTATGCATGGGCATGGCCCACCTGCACATCTCCCAGGGACACCTTCCATGCACGGGGGCACAAGCATGCTTTTCCTCTTTTGACACAAGCCTCTTGGCATGCCTTGCTGTTTTCACTTAACCCGCCTCATGCAGGGGGTTGGTCTGCTGCTGCCTGAGACCACAGCGTAGGCACAATGCCCAGCTCGACATCCCATCCCCAGTCCTGCCACTGACACCATGTTGCAGGGCAGCTGTGGGCACACTTGTTGGCCAGACTTCTCCAAGGGGAATTAACGGGGTCGAAAGAGGTTAACTATTTTTAATTCTGGAAACAAACCTGCAAGTAAATAAGAAAAGACCAATAGTCAAATGAAAATCCAGTGGCTGACTCCTCCCTGCACTGAGCACCTCCTGACAGCGACCTGGTCCTCACGGGCTGGACGTGAGCCCATGTGCGTGTCTGTGCAGCAGGCCTGGCTCCTTAGTTGGCCACCTCCACATGCTGACCAGTCTGTTACAGGCCCTCATGTGGTCACTTCACAGAGGTTCTCCTGTACAGATAAAGGTTATGGACAGTTCACAGGAAAGGAAGTACAGATTGCTGGCCAGCATATAAAAATGTGCTCAGCCAGCTCTACACATGAGCAGAGAAATGTGAATTCAGGCTACTCTCAGGTCCCCCTGCACTCCCACCAGAAATGCTGAAATGGAAAGAGGCTGCTGACACCAGTGTGGCGAGGAGGCAATGGGACCGGACCTCCTGTGCCCTTCTGGGGGATGGGGACAGCCACTGTGGAAGATGTGGGGCCTTCCTGAACCACAGCAACTCCACCTGAAGTGTGTCCTCGCACCACGTAGGCACCGAGGTGTACCAAAAATGTGCAACTGCTTTAATCACTGCCAAATCCGGCACAGCTGAAAGACTGCCCAGCGGTGGGCCAGGCCATGGTGCTGAGCTCAAGGACCAGGCTGTGCAGGTGCCAGCGGAGCTCCCATATGGTGCAGTCATTTGTGTGCAGGTCACGGCCAGTGAGAGCCAGTCTCCTGGGTGGGGTCCAAAGGGTTCCCTCAGGCTGGGGACTAAAGGGGCAAAGGCACCCTGCCTTGTATCACAGAGGGGTACGTTTGTGGCAGTGGCAGAGCTGTGTGTTTAGTGTGTGCACACTCCACGATTATTATGCTTCAATTTCAAAAGTGAAGGAAAATGATTACTCTGCTATGAGAAGTTTTCCCCTAGCAGATTGGAAAAGCCGAGAGTCTGGGACACGCCACGTGGCTAGTGTGTGGGGAACCCACCACCCTCACACATGGGGCTGGCGAGAGGGTGACGGGAGTCCTCAGGTAGGTGGTGTGGGAATAGCTAGCACCATTGCCAGCACCTGTCCCTGGGGTCTCTTCTAACTTGGAACAAGCTTTGGAGTTACTCCAAACCCTTTAGTTCAGTGACCCCCCCATCCCCGTGACTGCAAGCCAGTGACACTCTCTGTCTCCCACAGCCGAGAAGCCCTCCATGTGCAGAGTGGTGACATCCTCTCCAGTGCACAGACCCCTGGCCGGCCCCGAGGACCAGAAGCTTCTCTTTCTATCCACGTGGGGAGTTTCAGATAGCACCGGCCACACCAGGTCGCCAGGCGCAGGGCACAGGTGCTGCGCTCTGCTCGATAACCTGGAAGCGAGTGTTGTCAGCTTGTGGGTGAAGCCGCAGGTCCCACATCCTCTGCTTCATCACAAGCACAGGGACATCTCTGAGGCCAGACAGGTGCATTAGGCTCAGCTCTACAACACAACCTAGATACCCTACAATAGGTGCCAAGCAGGTGTGATCTTACACCACACCTGACCCCCAGCTGCCCTTTTGACCGGAAAACTTACTGCTTGCACATTAAGCACAGGTGTGGCCACATGGCTCATTGCTCGACTCTTAACAGGCCTGTGTAGAATCTGCACGTGCCCTGTCACCTCTTCCCCCATCTACATGACGCCTAGTCATCTGCACTGACAGAGGCTCTGACATCCTGCCCTGTGCCACTGGGCTGGCCAGGCCGTGCCATACTAGGAAAGACGGTCTGTTATCTGGGCTTCATCTCCCCCCACATCGTCTGGTCCTCATCTACGTCCTGTTCCCCCTTTGGTCTGAGTTGAAACTGTGCTGCTAGAGTGTCAGTTCTCTCTCCAGACTGAGGAGATAGATGGGAGTTATGCCAGCTCTGAGGGTTCATTCTGACCTAAGTGATCAGACATTCTCACTGCTGTGTCTGCTGCTGCCCAGGGAGCCTCAGCCTCTCCTGGCTGGAGGCCTGGTGGGCAGGCAGGGTGGTGGTGGAACAGACCTGTGGTCTGGGGGCTTGAAGTTAACCTGGGAAGGCTAAGTTGACATATTCCTGAGTAGCCTCAATCAAAACATAAAAATATATATATATATATATAAAGATGTTTTCCTCCTAATTCAGCAGAGATCACTGTCCAACTTAAAGAAATAGCACCTGTGTTACTGAGTTGATTTGGGACAGTGACTTCCTCAGACACCAGCCTGTTCTTAGCTTGGTTGTCACATTCATTTCACGGATTCTTGTCAGCCCTGTGTCACTGATGTGAAACCAGAACTAAAGAGAAGGGTAGGGAGTGACACGGGCACAGCGCCTCTGCCTGTGTGCCCAGCTGCTGCCCACGCCACCTTTCCATAGATCAGATGCTTACTGAACAGGCGCTCACTTTCCCTTCTCAGTTCTACTGTCAAAACCACTATTAGAAACCCTCATCTCTTCTCGACATGTCAGAGTTTCTGTGTCTTAAATAACGTGTCCATTTCTGTGGGGCACTTAGATGTGAGAAGCTGGCCTTTGACTAGCAAGCCGCTTCCCAGTCCTCTAACACTACTCAGCCTCAGGAGAGCGCATGGAGGCGCATGCAGACTGCGACCTCATGGGTGCCCGTCGGGGACTTTGATACCAAAACTCGAAATGTCATGACTGACGAGGCTGGAAACCCAGCCCTGCCATGTACAGGCTGCTCCGTCTCTTTTCCTGACATACTTCCTAATTATGCACCTTTGGCTCATGGTAATAAAGTATTAATTTAATAACCGAGAAGCTTTACTTTTGGAAAGCCAGAGGTCTCACTGAACGTTTCTAGAAGTACCGAGACCAGTGTGGGTGGATGTGCCTTAAAGTGCTGTCCAGCAGGGGGCGGCCACTTCTGTTTTTTCTTTTATTTTCCTTTCTCTTTCCTTTCTTTTTTCTCTTAACTTTTTTTTTTTTTAATTTAGGGATAAACTGGGATATACAGGGAGAAAGCTCTAAAATTTTGTTAAAGAAAAAATAAACCATTTTTAAAGTTGAAGCCCTTAGTGTCGAGTCTGCTTCAGGTTTTAGTTAAGAGAGGAACTCTGTGGCCTTCTTTCCCAAGCGCACTTCAGATGCTAAATGAACATGGTTTATATTTAGAAATACTATTATCAGTAGTGCTTTAGAAATAACAAAATCATGTTTGGGTTTTAAATAAATATAGACCCTGGGAAAACGGCATTGGACGAAACCGGATATAGCCTGGCTCTCTTCCTTCTAGGGAAGCAGGATTGGCAGGGGGGGCAGGAGGACTGTTGAGAAAACGTATATTCAGCATGTTTTTCTGGCAAAAAAAGGAAGGGGGCAAGAGTCCCCTGCAAACCCGTAATATGGCTTCATAGATGCCTCCACCGACTTAACTGTGAGGGACCAAACTGCACCCAGCCCCTCACCCCATCTGGACAGGGGACCTGGACAGCTCATCTTTCCTTCTGGTCTCAACAATGCAGCTGTCCAGAGCTGGCCATGCAGGGTTCAATAAAACACATATAACATGCCTCAGCATGGGGGCATTTTCACTCTAGAAACTCAGTGCACGTAAGAGAGGAGCATGGAGCCATGTTCTTGGTACAGAAGTGGAGAGATAGAGAAGGTTTCCAGCTCCCTCCAGTGTTCCATGTCCCTGTGCCCCACACATGTCCAGGGCCTGTGTCAACGGTCACGGAGTAAGGCAGCCAGGACCAACAAAGACCTCCAGCTTTTGAACCTAGAGCCCCCAGTGTGCCTACCTCACCCCGGGTCAGGTGAGTGCCCATGGACGGTGGAGCGTCTGCCGGCCCTGCTTGTCTCTGTGTTGGTTCCACCTCCCCCTGCAGGCTCTTCCCAGGTGCTGAGATGCCACCAACAGCTCCAAGACACCCTGTCAGTTACCAAGCACCACTTTCCTGGAACATGTCCAAGTCACGGCTTGAACTTGGCAACTTGTGCCACCTATTGTCAGCTCCCTTTAGACGAGTGGGGGAGAGGTGAAGGCCAGTTACTAGAACCAAGTACCTGTGCTCCTCCTACCACACATGTGCTGCAGAGACAGCAGGGCCCCACCTTCACGTGGTTCATCCACCTACAACCCAGCCGCACTACCCCTAACCCCTACAGAGAGACACCCAAAGGTGCTGCCCGCTCCTGCTCCCAGCCAGTGATGGGACTCCCTGCTCAGCAGCCTATAGCTGACACATGTGAGCCCACCTGGAGACAGTGGGCAGCAGGTGGGATGGCTACAGTAAAACTCTCCCAGCAAACAGAAGAGGCAGCAGGTCCAACAGGTGGGTGACACTCCCGGGGCCCATCTAGGAGAACCAGATAGAGCACTCGGAGTTCTCAAGAGGCTCAGTTTTCAAATGCCACCGATCATGACACCTCCACTTTGCAATCACCCTACACTTGAATGGCCCCATCTCCTTCAGACCACCTGGCCACGCCCTGCCCCAGATACCACCTCTCAGAGAAGCCCTTTCTGATGGCTTTCCAACTGTGGAGCCAAGCTCAGTGCGGGTAGGGCCGCGCTGGGGCAGGGTGGAGGCTGACGGGACTCAGCCAGCCTCCCCCTGGCCAGCGCCTATTTGGTTGTGGAGGTGCCAACAAGGAGTGCATGCTAGCTTCTGTGCCAGAAAACTCATCTATGACATGGGACCTTTTTCTTCACCTGTCACATGGGCTGGGCTTCCCTGAGGCCTGAGACACAGGAAAGCACACTCAAAAAGGTGATCTCTGGAATCCAACTGTCCTGGACTCCCCTCTCAGCCACATGCTGGCTGTGTCACAGGGCAAGACATGGTACTTTTGAGCCTGGTTCCTCATCTGTAGAGCAGAAACACTCACCACGTGGGACTGTTAGGGGAGCAGAGGAGTTGGTATGTGTAAGATCCTTGGGCCAGCACCTGGCATAGAACACTGTAAAGGTGTCAACCATCAGCATCGTGACAGTGGTCCTCACAACCTGTGTCCTCTGCAGTGACTGGCTCAATCACAGGTGTGTGAGGCAGTTCTGGCCAAGAAGACAGCAGGGGAGGTCAGCTGAACACACAGCCGTTTGGGGTTGTTTTTTTAAGACAGTCTCTCTGTGTCACTCAGGCTAGCATGCAATGGCATCATCATAGCTTACTGTGACCTCCAACTCCTAGAGTCCAGCAATCCTCCTGCCTCAGCCTCCCAAGTAGCTAGGACTGCAGTCATGGGCCATTATGCCTGGGCTGAAGCCACAGCTTCTGAAAAGGCTCCCTTAATCTTAAAAAGGGACACAGAAGGCTTGGCACTTGTGGCTCAAGTGGCTAAGGCACCAGCCACATACACCTGAGCTGACGGGTTCAAATCCAGCCAAACAACATGACAGTTGGCCCGACAAACAAGAATGATGGCTGCAACCAAAAAATAGCCAGGCATTGCGGCAGGCACCTGCAGTCCCAGCTACTTGGGAGGCAGAGGCAGGAGAATTGCTTGAGCCCAGGAGTTGGGAGGTTGCTGTGAGCTATGATACTATGGCACTCTACCCAGGGCAATAGCTCTAAAAAAAGACAGAAAAGTGACAGCCATCTGCCCCCACACAGCTTACACTGGACAGTCACATTTGGACTGTGCCTATAGCTGTGGCAGCCATCTCACAACCATGAGGCTTGAGGTCCTGAATGGGACACATGAAAACTGCATACCAGGGGAAAAAAAAAACTGCCTTGTTAGCAGGGAAGGGACAGAGGGGCAGCCAGCTCGTCCAGCCCTACCTGATTCTGTCTTTCACAAACCCAGTTCCCATCCCTCACTGCAGGAAATCGGGGTGATCAAAGTGACTTTGATCTTGCAGAGGCAGCTCTCTTGGCCTCGCAGTCCGAGAGCCTCAGCACCACACCGCACCGCCCCATCGCCCCACCACGTTCTTCAGCCAGCAGATCACAGTCCACCCCCTGAAAACTCAATGGCATCCTGTTTGGCTTTTAGGCCACCAAAAATTCAACCTATTTTAGGGCAGCTACAAACCAATTCTGAATCCACTTTGGAAGGTTTTGCCAACTGGTATGTCAAAGCACAAGGAATGATGAAAAGGACTCTTGACAATAGAAGATCAAAAACAGGCCTTTTTATTTATACACAGAACAACGTATTTACAGCATTCGGGTGTGGACTACGTATGTACATAACGATATAAGAGGCATTGCGTCCACAGCAGTCACTGTATAAATTAAGGTTATAAATACGGGGGGGGGGGGGGGAGTGCCCCACCTGAGGGCACAAAGCCTTTTCTCCAAGACACTTCAGGAACCCTTCCTTTCTCTACATGGACAGGACCGTGAAGCCTGTCAAGCAACACCACAGGGCAGGAGAGCAGCCCCACAGCAGGACACCACCCAGCAGCATGGGGACACCTACCCCACACCCAGCCAGCAGTTCCTGAACATTCTGAACATTCGTGCTCATCTTTTGTCACTTCTAACTTATTAGAATTAGAAAAATGTTTTTTATGTAAACAGTGCTGTTTTAATCACTGACAACATGTTAACTTTAAACACTACCCTTGACCCAAACCCAATGCTTTCCCAAGAGTACACCAAGGACTTGGGGTGGCTATAGTGCCCCCAAAGCCACCACTACCAGCTCTTCCTCATGTCCCCTCCTCACCCAAGTCCCAGCCTGTCTCAGGGCCTGCTCTGGGAAGCTCAGAGCCGCAGGGTGTCACCTGTGCTGGGAACACATGACAGGCTTCCACCATCCTGTGAGCCTTCCCACCTGCGCCATCGAGGGACTTCTGTAGCTGCCCTAGCTCTGCGTCCACTGGGAATGACTGCAGTGTGAGAGACAGAATCCCAGGGGAAAAGTGACACACACCATCTCACACCCAGGGTCACTTCCAATAAGGCAGTGAAGTCCATGGACAGAGCGTGAGATTCTCTCACCAAAAATCCTAATGCCAACAACCTCATAGGCAAGGACAAGTGAACATGATGACAGAACTCAGGGCCTGGGGCAGGCATAGCTGGAAACATGCTATCTTGCTCTCTACTCTCACAGACAGGGCCCAGGTCCACCCTAAAGAACTACCCAGGGGAATGCCCCAAGCCACAGACGCTGGCCTGGCAAGGGGGGGCCACCCAGGTGACAGAGAATGGAGACAGGCTACAGAGAGTGGGGGTAAAACACTGCTGAGCCAGCACCCACTCAGGGCCCAGGATGCCCAGACCCCACCCAGTTCTGCAGGTGCCTGTGGACGATGCCTGAGTGGCTCCAGCCCAGCTCCCTCACACTTCAGATGGGGTGACAGAAACTAAAGGGCTGGACACCTGCAGACGCTCCTGACACTGCCCTTGTCTTCAGGGTGTGGAGCCGCAGCCAGGCCAGAGCCACCGCCACACCAGGGCTGGTTTAAGGAAATCCCTTCCCAGGTTATGTTTCTAGGCCCTGTGAAGGATGACCATCTCTGAAGGGAAAGAAGGGCAGGTGGGGCCCGTGGGGCCCAGGGGCACCTTCAACCTGGGGACTGTCCCCCAGGTGCGGCCCTCTCCCCACCCACGGGCACTGCCACCTGTTGGTTCAGAACCTACCCTGCCTGAGTCCAGAGGTCACACCTGGGGACAGAGGCAAGGCGGGAGCAGTGTGAGCACTGGCAACACCTTCAGGGACACCAGGCCTGGCAGCAGGAGATGAGAAGTCACTGAGGGGCAGAGACTCACAGGACAGCACCAGCCTTTGGCCTCCAGGCTGCCCATCAGGAGGAAAGGTCCAGATGGCTCTTGTGCCCCCAGGACACACTGCATGGGAGCCAAAGGATGAGCAGAGAGCAGTTCCCAGAGCCTGGGAAGCTTCTACACAGGAACACTGAACTGATACCTACACCCTCTGTCCACAGGGAGATGGAGGAAATCTGTCTCTCTCACAGTCCCAAGCTGACCTCTACAGGCCTGTGATGTCCTGTCCATGGCTCGAGAAGCTGCAGGGATCACCAGAGGGCCCTGAGGCAAACGTCAGCTGGGCAACATTACACCACTGACTTGGATTAAGCAGGAAGGACTTTTTTCTTTCTCTCTCGGTCAAATTAAAACAAACGGTACTAGAAATATATCCATGCCACTTTCAAACCAGGAAAGAGCAGGATCTTTGTTTAAAAGAACATCTATTATTAAACAGGGACGACAGCAGGCCTGCCTGGCAGGGCTATCATGAGGAGCCATAGGGTGGAACATTCTGCTGTGGGTAGGGCCCTAACCACGCTGTAAGCCCAGAGACGAAGGACACAGAGAGACAGCTCTGGACAACTGGAGCACATGGTCAGGTGCCCAGAGCCAGGGAGGCCCAACTGAGAGTGCCGAGTGCTGTCAGCTAGGGCCCAGCAAGGGACACATCTGCCCCAGGACTCCGAGCTGGGCGCGGTGTTTCTAAGGTAGCTGTGTTGCCATGTCCAAGCCCCCGGGGCTGCCGTGTGGGCGCTGAGAGGGGGTAGCACCATGGAAGGGCCGCTGGCCTCAGTCTCGGGAGGCGCGGGGCACGCAGGCCGTGAGGGCGGAGGCTAGGCCTCGGCGGCAGGGCTGCTCCGGCTCAGTTCCTTGATCCCACACAGGATTCTCTTCATATGGCCCACTTTGGTCACGCCAAGGTCCTGCAATGGAGAGGACAGTCCCCGTGGGTGCAGGGAAGAGAGGGCCAGACGCTCTACAGACAGGCCTGAGACCGACAGTCCCAAACTTTCTGAACAGAAATGAGGATGAAAATGATAACATGGGAACAGTGGAACAAAACGGAAATGGCACCTAAGGCACAGCCATGCAGACGCCGACGTGTCACTCCTGCCTTCCACAAAGTCGCTGCTGTCACCACATACAGATCCAAGACACAGACAAAACACAGGCCTGAGAGCAAGGGATGCCAAGTGACCTTGACACCACAGGGCCTCTCGCTCTCTGGAGACTAGGCCAGTACCTCAATGCCCAGGAGGCCGCGCCCCATGAGGCCTGGCACAGACCCAGCCACACGCGTGCCAACCTCCCCATTCCACTGCTCTGCATGAGGTGAAGACAGCAGCGCATGTAACTGTGCTGGAGGAACCACCCCGTGTTTTCAGCCCTCAACCCCCTGCAGATGCCTTGAAGGAACCCCGTGGCCGTGCGCTTGCTTCACCCAGGTGCTGTCCCAAGCCAGAGCTGTTCAGGCCAAACTCAGCACAAGGAATGCGCAGGGGCCCCAGCAGGGCCTCAGCGATAAAGTAGCTCCTTGTATAAGCAGCCTGAGAAAATCAAGGCTTTCCCCCCACTACGTCTGGGAGCCAAGGGCAAAGGCCACTGCCACCTGTCACCTGAGGCACACAAAGGCCTGAGCTGGAGAAGAACAATAGAAAGAATCATGGTGCTGGGACAAGGCCAGGCCAGGGGATGAAGACGGAGGTGAAAGGAGCCGTAGGGAGGCCCAGGTGCAGGTTCCGAGGAGACGCCTGGAAGTACCTTGAGGTCCCTCCGCTCCAGGTGCAGGAGCTCAGAGCCCCGGATGTCGTGCCGCATGAAGATGTCCTTATACTCACAGAGACTGAGGTGCTCCAGCCAGGCAGCAACCTCCTCTGTCCCCCAGAGGTGAACTGTCGGAGACGGAAAAGCACGGGAGCAGTGAGTGCCCAGAGCCCAGCACAGGCAGGTGGCGGTGGCACCCAGCACGACAAATCCCAGCGGCCAGCGCCCCAGACACCCAAACAGCCAGCGCCCAGACAGCCCAGCAGCAACATCAATACTCCCCTGGGAGCCAGCGTCCGTCACCCAGCCACAGGCAGCCCCCACCAGCAGTGCAGGAAGCACCAGAGGACCCCTACTTGCTGCAGCAGAGCTGGTGTCTGTTCCTGCCAGGTGGGCCACCAGCATTCTGGACATTTCCCTGTGTCCCGGCAGGGATCAAACACCACTAAATACGAGGGAAACATCAGGACTGGGTGGCCAAAGCCAGCTTTTCCTCTGGCTCCCAGAGGGATTGTATTTCACCTTACGGCCCAGCAGGAAGGGAGACACACAGAGACTGAGAGTGCACGGAGTCCGGCCACCACCATCAACAGAAGCCCAACTTTTGGACTAACACGCAAAGAAGAATCAAAATGAGCTGCCCTACTGGCAGCAAATGCCACCCCAAAATCTAGGCATGGAGGCCCATCCAGCACCCAACAGCCTTGGTGCTCAGGGCTAGTACTTTAGACAGAGATTTGAAGCCCCAATTTATTGACCCAAAGGAAAAATGTCCCTTAGTGCCATTTTATGTTGATTTCATCACCCACAATCACTGGTGGCCTGAGGTTCCCCAGGGAACTTTGATCAATGACCCAATTACATGGGGTCAGCAGCCCATCAGAGGAAGCAGGCAGAGCGGCCCCAGCAAGGTCTGAGTCCACAGTTTTCGTCTCCAAGTTCGTCTTGTCACCTCTGCTGTCTCCCTTCCCACCTTGAACCCCCAATTCATGGCAGGCAGGACACCTCAGCGGCCCACAACCCAGAGTCTCTGTGGAGAGCACATTCAGGCCAGGACGTAAAGTGGAGGGAAGAGGGACAGGGTGTGGTTTCACAGCTGCAGACAGATGGGCAGCATGTGATGGCTACAGCATGGGGACCTCAGGGAGGAACTGCAGGCCAAAGAGAAAGCAGGGACCAGGAGAACCAGACCACAGACAGTGGGCGCCAACGACCAGAAACACACACGGGAGAGGGGCAGGTACCCGGGGTGCCCAGGCTACTGTGAGCTTCTTTGTTCCTGTTGTTTTTCTCCTTTTTAAACTTGGTCACGAGGCGGAATTTACCACTGCGGCTTCGTTTAGAAAGATCCAGCATCATGTTCTGTTGGGGAAAGTGAGAAACACTGAGAATCAGACCTCAGTTTATCCAGGCCCAGGGTGGGGTAAGGAGGGGAAGAGACTGAGGCAAAAGGACAGCTAGAAAGAGACACTTTGTTCCTTAAAGGTTTTGCTCCCTTATTTACTCTTGTATTTAGTGTTGTTGATGCTGTGTGGCATCACAGCTCACAGCAACCTCAAACTCTTGGGCTTAAGCAGTTCTCTTGCCTTAGCCTCCCAAGTAGCTGGGACTACAG